CTCCTTAGTCTATAAACACAAGGCTCAGTCGTTTCCAAATAGGACTGGGCTTGTCCAACAGCAGCTGAATGGAAATAGATGAGGTGCTTCCATCACACCTAAAGGCATGGATCTTTATCTGCCTGGCGGTGTGGTAAGGTAGGAGGTGGCCTTTATGTTATCAAGGACAGCAGTAAAGATGGGAGTAAATGCCCTGACCAGTTTGGCTCAGTGGATAGAGCATCGATCGGCCTGCGGACTGAAGGGTCCCAGGTTCGATTCCACCCAAGGGCATGTATCTTGGTTGCAGGCACATACCTAGTAGGAGGTGTGCAAGAGGCAGCTGATCGATGTTTCTAACTCTCTGTCCCTCTCTCTTCCTCTCTGTGAAAAATCAATAAAATGTATTAAAAAAAAAGATGGGAGTAAAATCATTTGTTGAAAAAGTGGAGAATAATATATTATATATGAATTGTTTAGCATTCCTTAAATAGCCTTGTAATGTCATCTGATTTTTTCAATAAATCTTTTAGGATTTATTGAATGGACTTTTTAAGAGCATATTTTGAAAACATTCTTCTATGACACTGCATTCTGTATTCATGAAGTGTGAGACATTTTTGGAAAAATGGTCTTTGGGAAAATAATTATGGTCTGTCTCAGGTTATGTATTCAATTGGAACGTGAGTTTTAGTCCTTCAGTATTTTTCTCCTAAACTTCAAACATCTCTCTCCCTAACCAAATTTCTTCACCCTTTCCTCTTTCCTCATGTAAATACACACACACTTTTAGAGGAATTGACTGATATATGAGTCTACCCTAAAGTTTAATGGCAACATGAAACTGACTATTTAAAACCTGCAGGTGGAGCAGATGGGGTTTGATTCTCTCCTTCCCAGCCATGTGTTTGGTGTGATGTTGGCCCAGGCTCAGTAAGAATGCCAATCACAGAATGGGGAGGAGGGCCCCATGCTAGGCCGCCAATCACAGAGGGGGGAGAAATGCCCTAGGCAACGTTGTCCTCACACACTCCCTGTGTGTGTCTTCACCTCTTTGTTTCCCCCCCATTTCGTGTTCTCCTTCTCATCTGGCGGATTGTAAACCGTTAGTGTCAAAGAGCTATTGGTGACACTAATTATTGGGCAGGGTTTGTGACATAGAAACAAGATCCCAGAAATAAATTTGTTGAAATGGTTGCTTTCAATTGGAGCAGATATTAAAGGTGATTCATATGCTACTTCCATTCCATTCTGTATTTTTTTCTTAAAGGGGTTTCTCATCTATTTTTATTCCATCTTAAAATGATCTATGGCTGCATCTGGCAGAGACGATCCCCTGCAAGACAACAATGGAGATAATACTTAGTCCATTGAGTTCAGTATCTGGAGCCACCGAGGCAACAGCAGAGACCAGTCAGAAGGGTCATCTCCTAGGCCTGGCCCTCCTGAGACTTTCCACTACCTCACACTGTCCCAAATAATGAGTTAAAACAGCAAAAAAAACCCAACAACAAACAAACAAAAATTAATCATTGCTCTCATTTATGCTACATCAGTTTTCCTCTGCTTTAAGAATAACACAGGTGTCTAAAAAGAATGTACACTTTTGGATTTAGAATGGTTATATGGATACCTTATTAACTCCCAGTGACTGGACAATTTAATTTAATTTAATTTAATTTAATTTAAGGACTGGTCTATTCACAATGTAGGTGACGCCATGTTTGCTTCTGTGACATGGAGATGACAGAGGGAACTACCTATTGGCTGGGGGCAGGGAGGTCTTTATCTCTTCCGGTTTGAAATGTCCCCCCTCTTATTGTCTAGAAATAAGAGACAAAACTTTGGCCATGGTCTCCAGCAGCCACTGCTCCACTGCACAGGGTCCAGAAGGCAGGAGTCCTGGGAGGTCTGTGGGCCCTCCCGTGAGCACAGATTGTTTCTATGGCTTCACTAACTTTCAAAGTAGAAACATTGGTACCACACACTTAGACGCAGGTAAGCACAGTTCAGAATAAAGAAGGGCAGTGGGCAATGGCAACTGGTGTCCGGGCCAGCGGCTCTGGGCTTCTCTCTGCCCCTGGCAGTGCCTTGTGAAGGAGGGACAGCGCAGGGCTGGAGGAGAGAACAGATCTGGGCTTCTGGATAGGGAGTGCCCATTTCACTGGCTTGGGGGTGATTTTGGTGAAATTCCTGAACTTTCCCATTAGTTTATTTACTTCTTTACATCGTTATATTTCATAATAGTCTCTGAACTTCTTGAGCTATGACATTTTATTGTACTCAAATCTATTCCCAATTCTTAACCAAGGTCAAGCATAAAGTAGGATCTTATAAATACTTGTTGGACTGATTTACATTGAAATGATTAGGTCACTTCTAGTTCTACTTAGGGGAAAATAGGGTAAGGGGCATGATACTAACAAATGCCATCAGTGACACATAAAAAGACCACAAGAACCTAATAAAAATGGTAGCACAGTTTTATGCAAATGATATGGTTAAGAAACACAAAAATGCTATAATAAATATTGTCTTTTACCTGCGAAAGATCTTCAGTTTGCTTGTGATTCTGTTGTGCAAGGCTATGAGTTATTGGGAGGTATGGGAGCAGTGTTATTTGAAAGCGGAGGATGACTGTGACTGGCATGTGGACAGGTGAGGCTCAGCGGCCCCTGTGCACTAGCTGAGATCCTCCGTGGTGTCTGCTGCATGCGCCCGTGCACTTGTGCGTGGAACTGTCGTGTGGGGCTCGGTCCACACCGGGTCCATTTCCACACTCACCTGCTGTTTTCTTATGATAAAGCAGGCGTACACAAGTACAAGGTCTGCATTATGTTTAAATTGTTTCCCAATGAATAGTGTAAACAGTTTGCACTTCCAAACAAGTGTCTTAGAGGTGGGTATGCACCTTCTCTCACCTGCATCTTTGCGGAGACAAGTGGCCGGAGCTCATCTTTCTCTTCGGCATGACCCTGTCTGCTGAGGGGCCCTGGCTGTGGTTTCTGTTATTCCTCTTTGGCGAGGATCTGGCTCTGTTCTGGGTTGGTCCAATAACTCAAAATGTTTTTCAAACATTTGTGTTGGGGAAAACTCAAAATATGCTTTGCCAGTTGATTTTTAAAAACATTTCACAAACAGAAAAAATAACCTTTGTGTTTCTCATTAATGTTCTTGCGATTTGATGAAATGCTGCTCCCTCAGAATTTTCTGGATAAATAATCAGCCTCAGAATTCTATGTACATTTTCTTTAAAAAATGTCAAATTGACTTTTGATGAAAGCCATTAATGCCATGGAATTTACCTTTAAACTGAATAACAAAGTAGTAATTTGTTTTGACTGAAGTCTGTCTAGATTTTATGAAGTCATTTTGCAATGTCCTACAAGAGCAATAGTAAACAAAATGGAAAAAAAATAAAACAGGGAAAGTGTGTACTGATATGTGAATGCCTTCTTTCCTTCCTTTCCTCCTTCCCTCACCATTACATTCCTTAAATAAGACTTTATGAAAAGCCTAATATGTTCCAGATACTTTGTTTAGGTTCGCAAAAAGCATGCCACCTCTTGGAGGATACACACAGATGGATAAGATACTACACACCTTTTAGGTGACCAACATGCTATGTGAAGAGCAGCATACTCTACACAAGACTGGGTGGTCAGGGCATGAGAGACAATCTGGGAGAACATATCTGTGTTGCTGTTATTGAGAACACACCTCAGTCCTACTGTGTTCCACATTGTGGCTGCATCAAAGACACTTTAGAAGTTGCTGCTCCTACAACACAGCCATGGGTAAATGGAAAAAAGTGCACCTCCAGGCACAGAGAGCATATTTAGGGAAGGCTGGACAGGTGACTACTGAAGTGAATATCACATTAAAGATTGTGCAAGATCAGGACTGTTCTCTATTACTTTGTGCAATTAAAACTAGGAACTCATTTTCCAAAGACTTTCACACAAAGGCAAATGAGAAATTCTCAATTATTCTGTCCTTCTAGATACAACTATTACTAAGGGTCCCCGTGGCCTGACTATGAGAGAGTAGTTCAACAATGCTTTCCTTTTTAAAACTCTTCCTTCTTACAGAATAAGCTCAACAGCTATAACTTGAGGCTTTACTGAAATAGTTGACTCAGGAATGGATAGATAATTGGGTTTTACAATTAGACAAATATGGGTGAGAATTCTGGCCACACTATTTTCTTGTGTTGTGATGAAGTATGGTAGCAATCATCTCAGGTAGAAACTATAGTTTAACTTTAACCCTGCTGTTTGGCTTTTGTGCTTATTTGCTTTGTTTAACAATAGGAAAATTACTTTGATTTTCTGAACTTATGTATCCTACCCCATTGATTATGATCTCACTGGTTTTAGGAAGCACATTCTTCTGTACCTGGGAACCAGGACAACACAATTATCCCCAATTGCTTCAGTGGCTCAAGGTAATGTGTTGCTGTCAACTCAGTGGTCCCAAGACCCATGGCTCCAGGCAATGTGTTTCCGTTGATTCAGTGATCTGGAGATCCAAAGCTATAATTTAACTAACATGCTCAATTCTGCTTCTGTAACTGCTCTGTGCAAACCAGGTTCCTCATTCCAAACCCAAAGATGTAATCGATAACTTTGTGATTTTTTGCCTATAGAAATCTGGTGTTGCGGCCATCTTATCACTAAGAGATTTGAGAGAGCGAAATGCCCCCTCGTAGTCCCGGATTTGTAATAAATGTGACTCCTTAATTTGACTTCTTGAGGCATCCTTGTGTGATTCATGGGGTACATTACAGCAGTGACCTTGGGCAAAATATCTTTAACATCTCTGAACTTAGTTTCTCTAACTGTGAAGGAAACACATGTTTTTCAAGGTGGTTGTGAAGAGAGGAAATGGCACATGTAAATAAGCAGTGCGGGCCTCGTTCAGAGCAGGTGTTAATCAATGATGGAGGGGAATGCATGATTCCTTTCTTGATGGGCTACCTCTCCCTGATAGAATGTGCCCTCTTTCTCCTGTTGTTTCAGACAACTGTGATGACCCGCTAGCGTCCCTGCTTTCTCCAATGGCCTTTTCCAGTTCCTCAGACCTCACTGGGACTCACAGCCCGGCTCAGCTCAACCGAAGAGTTGGTGAGTAGGGTGACTGCTTCTCCAACACAGCCGTGGGTAAATGGAAGAAACTGCACCTCCAGCACAGAGAGCATGCATGAGAACAGTGCTCAGAAGGAGGATGGAAAGTGTGGTTTCAGTGGGATGAAATATGTCTCCTGGCACAAAATGAATATTCAAATTATTCTGATTCTTGTTCCCCCAACCCGCATTATTCCTCCTTGATTATCATGAGAGGCTTTTGAGAAAATATTTTTTAAAAAGAAACCCACCAAACAAAAAACAAAAAACAAAAAAATTGCTTTAATTTTAGTGCTTCATATATGTCACACAAACAGATACAAAAATATATTATTATAGCATTTTTATAATAAGTATGCATGAAATCTAAGATTTTCCTATGATAAGTTTAATTTTTACAATTGAATAAATGTTGTTAATGTTTACAAATATAACATGCTATTGAGTAGAAGAAAATACAAAAGAAAATATATAACCCTATGAGCTAGAGATACACACATTAAAAGTTGGGTGAGTATCTTTACAATGTCTGATAGAAATAAGAACAGATACCCCCTAACTAGCCTTTTATGTTAAATTTATTTTAAAAGTATGATATTAGATATCTAAATGTCCATATTTTAATCAGATTTTGATGTTGGCTTTTATTTTTACATAAACATATAGTTTTATAATTAATTTTTAAATTTTAAATACTTAATATCTGATATTTGTATATCTAAGGAATGTTATAAACTCTTTTTCAAATTGAGAAACATAATTTTGTATGCAATTTCAATAGGTGCACGGATTAATCAGAGCTCATACTAATAATTCTTAGCTATATTTTCCCATTGATAAGTGAGACCAATCACATTAGTAAGTTTTTCAATGTTGAGCTTTGCAATCTGGAATAAATTTTAACTGGTTATTACATTACTGATATTGCTTTTGTAAAGTATAGAATGACTTAACTTGTTAACATTTTAACTTATAATTTTAATATTATTAATTATAAAATTAACTTGCTTTTTTGTTTCTATATTTGTTGTTTATTTTGTACCACGTTTCTTAGGTTCTATATTTAATGGGATCAATAATTCAGAAGTTAGTAAGTTATGTGTCTTTGTTAAAAAAGAAGGTTAAGATATTATTTTAAAGAAAAAATAAAGAATGGCCAATTATATATACAGTGGGAAAATATTAACAATAATCTACTAACACTCTCTTTGCTGAATACTCTGTGCCAAAACCTTTAGAAGGCATTCACCTGTATGAAGGCATGTAGTTTTCACAAAGGTAAAATAAGGTAAGCTTACCTTTTACCTTCAAGTAGAGTTCTTGAGACTTAGATAATTTTCATAAACTTAAAATCAGAGATAAGAAAGAGAAATGCTTGGATTCAAATCTTAGTCATCTAATTAAAAGGCTTTGCCCCTTTCAACCACATAGGTTAAAAAAAGTAAACGGTCCTTGAAACTACCAGGCAGAGGTCAAATGCTGGCTATAGCATTTACTTACAAGCTCTGTAAGTGTCTACTCATCACTCACATGCTCCCAACCGTGGGCATCTATTGGTACATTGCACCAGTATTGCCTTCCTTGCAGCATTATGTATAGAATGAGACCAGACTTGCATGTGTAAAAAGACCTTTCTCATTGTAGGGTAGAGTTGCTCTGGAGCCAGGGAGCTCCACTGTCATTTCAGGAAAAACTACCAATCAGCAGAGTTTTAAAAATGTTTTATTTATTGATTGACTTGAGAGAGAGAGAGAGAGAGAGAGGAAAAGAGAGAGATGGGGAGAGAGATTGACTTTTGGTCTACTTATTTATGCATTCATTGGTTGATTCTTGTCTGAACCCTGACTGGAAATCAAACCAACAACCTTGGCATACTGGATGACATTCTAACCAACTGAGCTACCTGGCCAGGGCCCAACTGGGCAAATTTTAATGTAGTCTCCAACAGGGAATCCAGAGAGAGAATTTGTCTGGCAAATGTGTAGTGTTACATAGTTATTACCACCTTGTATTTCCTCTGCAGGTTCTGGGGAAGCTGTGAGTCTGATCACATGCTAGCTTCTTTCATAATTAATAGATATTGAGGGTACAAATGTCTCTGATCCAACTTATTACAATGGTCCTAATCACAGGAGAATCAGGGTGCCTGAGCCCAGGTCAGCACAGTGATGCAGAGACCACTCTTCTTTCTCCCAACTAGAGTTTAAATTAGGAAGACCATGCAAGAGACACAGTCATGGATCTGAAATGCATTGGCCTACAACTCACATCTAGCATAGCCCTCAGGAGTGACAGCCTTTCTTCCATTCAGCAGCAGTTAAGCACAGACTTAAGGAGATACTAGATAGTTAGTTCTCATCCAAGCATCATGCATTTGAGTCACTTGGAAAATCTTTAATAGTAGCAGTGCCTGGTTCCATCTCTTAGCTATCTATCTATATAATAATAAAAGGCTAATATGCAAATAGACCAAACAATGGAATGACCAGTTGCTATGACATGCACTCACCACCAGAGGGCAGACGTTCAATGCAGGAGTTGCCCCCTGGTGGTCAGTGTGCTCCCACAGGGGGAGCCCTGTTCAGCCAGAAACTGGCCAGCAAGCACAGCAGTGGTGGCAGGAGCCTCTCTTGCCTCCATGGCAGCACTAAGGACCCCTGGGGGATGTCTGACTGCCAGCTTAGACCCATGAGCAGACCTAAGCTGGTAGTCAGACATCCTCCAAGGGGTCTTGGACAGCGAGAGGGCACAGGCCAGGCTGAGGGATTATCCCCCTCCCCAGTGCACGAATGTTGTGCACCGGGCCTCTAGTAATAATAAAAGCATAATATGTTAATTAGACCTTAGACCAGACTTCCTTCCAGACAACCTTCTGGATGAAGCCGGAGTTGCAAGGGAAACCCGGGTCCTGTGTGCCAGAGGGAAGCTGGTGCTAGCAGCCAGGGGAAGGAAGGCCTACTCTTGCATAAATTTCATGCATTGGGCCTTTAGTTCTAAAATAATTGTCTGGAATGGAACCCAAACACAGATATAGATAAAGTAAATGAATACAAGCTTTTCAGATGATTTCAAAATACAAGGTTTTCAAACCACTAGATCAAATGAATTTGTGAATAACAAATCCTTCTATTAATATTTATGGAGCACTTGTATGTGTCAGACACTGTGCTAGAACCCCGACCCATACTTAGTAAATTAGGCATGAACGCTGTTCATAAAGTATTTACATGTACCAATGACTTTTATACAGAACTGGAACACGTAACCCAAACATTTACATGAGATCACAAAAGACTCAGAAGAGCCACCGCAATCTTGAGAAAAAAGAGCAAAGGTGGAGGTATCATGCTACCTGATAACAAACTATATTATAAAACCACTAGAGGCTCAGTGCACGACATTCGTGCACTCAGGAGTGGGGGTTGGGGGGAGTCCTTCAGCCCGGCCTGTGCCCTCTCACCGTCGGGAGCCCTTGGGGGATGTCCAACTGACGACTTAGGGCCGCTCCCCTAAACCAGTAGTCTGACATCCCCCAAGGGTCCTTAGCGCTGCCGCAGAGGCGGGATGGCCTCCCCCCACTGCTGCTGCACTTGCCAGCCATGAGCCCAGCTCCTGTGTTGAGTGTCTGCCCTCTGGTGGTCAGTGCATGTCACAGCGACTGGTTGTTCTGTGGTTCAGTTGATTTGCATATTAGCCTTTTATTATATAGGATAGTAATCAAAACAGCATGGTACTGGCATAAAAACAGACACAGAAATCAGTGGAACAGAATAGAGAGCCCAGAAATAAACATGTGCCTACATGATCAATTAACACATGGATGGGCAACAGTAGTTTTACAGTTGTGACTGCACAAGACACGGTTTATTCTTGTGTTATTATTTATCAATCATTATATTATTTATTTATATTATAACTGTAAATTTACTTTTGCCCAACCCTGTACATGACAAAGGAGACAAGAACATACAATGGGGTAAAGATAATATATTTAATAAATGGTGTGGAGAAAATTGGACAGACACATGCAAAAAAATAAAACTAGACCACCTTCTTACAACAAGAACACAAGAATAAACTCAAAATGGATAACAGACTTAAATTTAAGACTCAAAAATCATAAAATTCCTTAAAAAAAACCATAGGCAGTAAAATCTCTCATATTTTTCTCTTAGCAATATTTTTTTTTCTAATATATTTCCTCTGACAAGGGAAACAAATAAAAAATAAACAAATGGGATAAACATCAACCTAAAACGTTTTTGCACAACAAAGGAAACCATCAACAAAACTGGAAGATAACCTACTGGATGGAACAAAATATTCACCAATAATACATTCAATATGAGTTGTTACCCAAAATTTATAAAGAACTCATGCAACTCAAAACACACACACACACACACGCACACACACACACACACACAATTAAAAAATGGGATGAGAACTGAGGAACTGAAAGGTACGTATCCAAAGAGTACATGCAGCTGGCCAATAAATGTATGAAAAGCTGCTCAACATCACTAATCATCTGAAAATGCAAATTAAAACCACAATGAGATCTTATGGAAGGTCCTCAAAAAAAAAAAAAAAAGAAGAAACTGACTGTGACCCAGTGATTTCACTTCTAGGTATATATATGAAGAGACCCAAAAACACTAATTTGAAAGGATATGTGCACCTTATGTTTATTGCAGTGTTATTTACAATAGCTAAAATATGGAAGAAATCCAAGTGTCATCAATAGACAAGTGGTTAAAAAAAAGTGGTGGTATATGTATACAGTGATGTATTACTTACCTATAAAAAGGAATGAAATTTTACCATTTGCAAGAGGGTGGATGGAGCTAGAGGGTATTATGCTAAGTGAAATAAGTCAGGAAAAAATGGCAAATACCATAGGATTTCACTTATATGTGGATTCTAAAGACAAACAGGCAAACATAATAGAAGCTGACTCAAAGATGCTAAGAACAGACTGATGTTGGCCAGAGGGGAGG